CATTTCTAACTTTTAACTTTGTAACTTTAAAATTCCAATAAAATACTATTAAAAAAAAAGAAGAGCTAAATAGGATGCAGCTGAAGAGTACTTGGTGGGGATCACCAGGATATCTCGGGACTCTAGGGTAGACTAGGAAGTCAAAACCATCCTGGAAGAAAGGAATGGCAGACCATGTCTGGAACAGAAGGAGAAATCTTTATTATTATGGCTTGTTGCATAGTCAACCAGATGTTTAGACTGGATTTGGCATTTTTATCCATTTATTGAGTCCTTCCCAAGGACCTGGGATAGGCAGATGTATTATTAGTAGTAATAGTAGTAGTATGCAGGTGTTCAGGTCTATCAATTTGATTCTAAGACACCTTCATATTTTAATATATTGAAATACTGGAAGCAGAGTGGGAAGAGAAAGGGCCTAGGCCAGAACTTCTGGTCAAATGTCCAGGGTCCCACTCAACAGGAGGTTTCCCAAATGTAGCAAGGCTGCCTTGTTGTCCACCAAAGTTGGTGAATTAATGGGGAGTGTGATCCAAAGAGAGGCCTCCAAAGGACCATGACATCCAGAATGCAAAAGCACCCCCGCTTGTAATTTGTTATTGTAGGCCGCCTAGGATTCTGGTGTGATGGGTGGCTACTATACATTTCAAATGAATGAATGAATACAATGAGCTGTTGTCAGCTCTAGATTGAACTTCAGTTCTTAACTAAAGCTCCATCGGAAGTGATCAAGGAAATTGAAAAATTGAAGATGTTTCCAAATCAGTGAAGAAGCAGAAAGGATTTTTAGAGCAGGCTTTCCATTTGAGAATCTGCTGACTGGTACAAACTGGCAGGTGGGGCCTGAACTTAAGACCAGTGGGCTCATTCCCACTTTTCTTGGATCACTAAAAGCAGTGGGGCTCAAAGTGAGGAAAGTTCACACGTATGTAGAAGAAATGGTGTCTGTCTTCCAGCTAATACTGTGCTGTCAGGAACGAAAAAATTACCTGTGCCTTTGAAATGCTTGCAAATAAAGGAAAGTAGCAATTTTGACTCCTCTTTAAAAGAGTGTAAAATCTGCCTCTTTCCCCTTCCTCCATCACTGAATTGATTTGAAATGTTTCACCCCAAAACTTGCATTATAGTGCAGGTCAAACATTCCTCCTTTTATTCCCCCCCCCAAAGGTGGGGCAAAAGTAGGGAAAATCCAAAGTGAAGTATAAAGTTAAGTTCCACTGCCTTTAATGGGGCTTAAATGGACTCTTCTTCTGAGTTTGAGAGTAAAAAGTTGGAATTTGAGGATGTCAGAATGGTTTGAAGGAAAGAGATCACAGGAATCTGGGAAGGAAAGCCCAGCTGTATCTCCTTAGAAATGGCTTCAGAAGAGCAGCATTTAAAAGTGCTAAAAAGTCCTACTAAATATTAGTATCTGAAGCGGCTGCCAAACACTTAAAGGGTCTAGTTTATTTTTTTTATTGGTTTCAGATCTTGGTTGGAGAGGGGATAGAATCAGAAGAGATTGGTTCGGAAAAAGGCTCAACCAGGAAGGTGATATCCTTCTTTTAAAACTGAAGGTGAAGCGATGCCAGGTGAGGCTCCTTCCAGTGGCATCTTCCTATCTAGTTTGGGGAGAGATAAAAAGACCTCAAGCATCAAACAGGCGCTTGGATAATTTCTGCTTGAGATCCCGTTTTCTCTGAGGAGGGAGCTCCATTCCCAGGAGGGATACAAAGAGATCAGATACACACACACACACACACACCGCTCTAAAGGAGCCATACTTTAAAGGTAAAGGGCTTTGCTCTGCCGCCACATGTTAAAGTCCATCCCACCCCACCCCACCGGAGAGATGGTATAATGGGGCAAAAGAATGAATCCCAGCTGCACGATAAACAGCCATGGAAATCTCGAGAAAATGAATAGGATTAATAAAGGTCACTGATCACTAGCCGTTTATAAGTATTTCGGGACATGTTTCTTGTTCAGATTCTAACTCTGACCCCTTCCATGCCGGGACGGGGGAAGACAGAAGGCTTCTGAGTTGCAATGCTATCTGGATTCATTTGCACAAAGCAGAGGAGGGGTGGTCCATTTTCAAAATGACAATAGCATACTCTTTCCTAAGCAGGTTGGCGTTGCCGGTCGAAAGGGATGAATGCCTTCTATCTCAGGGGTCACTTGCCTCTGAATAGACGGGCGAAGGACCGAAAAGGCGTCGTTTCAGGAGAAGCTCCCGGGTGGATCGCGGGTACCGATCCTAGAGGCTTTCATTCGCCAGGAATTTCTTCTGCAGCCAATAGGATCTGTGGCCGAGTGAGCGCGCGTAGGGTTTTCAGCCTACCGGGTAGGATAAAGCTGTTGTTTGTATAGACTGCGCTCCGTCTCCAAGTCCGGGTTTCCCAAGGCGGGAGAGCCGTATGTCTCTTTCTCTGCTGTGCTTCAGAGGGCAACCTGGCCCAAAATATGACTTCACTTTTCTGCTCTTAAGAAACAGGAGGAGCCGAGGATTCGCTCGGGGGATTAGTTTTAGGAGCCGCGTGAGACGTATCGCAAGATCCTGATGCGGGCCTTTTTCTTGGCGACGGAGCTTCTTCCAAATCCAACTTCGGCGCTCAGCGCGCATTGACTGCTGAAGTCGGACCACCTCGCGTCCCGTTTCCCTTTCCTCAGGCCCCCTCCAGGGCTGTAAAAGAAGAATCCCACCCCGCCCCCACCAGGAGGCTCTGGTTCTGCTTTCCTAAGCCTGGCGGAGGAGACGCTGTTTTTGTGGGCTTGGTCGCTTCCCCGGAGCTGCTTGCCCGGAAGCGGGAGGGCGACTTGAGAGGCCTCCAGAGGCCCCTCATGGTCATTTCCAGACGTCTTGGCGCTCAAACAGACTTAGTGGTAAGATCAGGGTCGGGGAGCCGTCAGGGCGCTTTGGTTGGCGGCACAAAAAGGGGGCTTTTGGGAAGCCCCAGAGCGCAGGCGGTGGGGAAGATTCTGGTTTCCAGCCTGGCAAGATTCGCTGACTTAGCTGCCCTCGCCCAGTCGCTACCCCCTCTGCAACTTTAGGCGAGGGGCCGCTTTGCTGCCCTTCTTGAAGGCTGCCGCCCCTGCCCTGCACCGGGGAGCAAAGTCTCTCAGTGTTGAAGCCGCGGCGTGGCGAGCTGCGTCGGACGGCGCGGGCCCCCTCTTGGCTCCCGGAGGCCCTTCTCGGGGAAGGGCGAGGTAGGGTTGTTCAGCGGGCCCCGGCCGCGGGGCTTGAGGCGGTAGAACAAGGCAGCGTCGCGGAAGAAAAGCGGCCAAGCTCTCCTGCCCTTTCACGCTCCGCCATCTACGGAGCAGCCCGGAGTATTAATGCTCTGATTGTATTAGCAGCTTTCTCCAGTCCAGCTCCTCCAGACGGGTCGACTACAAGTTCGGTAATTTCCAGTGGTCGTGTCGTTGGTCTTACGGGCTGAGAATTACGCCATCGGGTTAAGGGAGGATTTTAATCTGCAGTCAGGAAAGGATGCCGCCAGCTAATTCCCTAAGAGCCTTTTCTCCCTTTGGTGACTTTTCCCCCCATATAGTACTATGCATACGGAATAAAAATCAGAGTTGCATTTTGGCAATGTGTTTTGTGTGTGCGCGTGTATCTCCTTTGCACCAGTGTAATTTCCTTAAACTTAAAACTGGCCATTTAAAAATGAATCAGTTGGAAGAATGCTTACTTTACCTACTTTTAAGTAAGTGCAGTTAGAATAGGCTTTAATTCTGAAATTGGGAATATAAAGTTAAATGAAACCAATAAGATTTAACTCATCCAAGGAATCGTGTGTGTGTTGGGGGGGAGCTCCCTTAATATTTGCAACTTTTTTCCTGCCGGTGTAAAAAAGGCAAGCCTGCCTGACTTGGTTCAGATTCCACATGTATTTTAACTTTACTAAAATATATTTGTAAGTACATTTTGGATGTAATTCCAAGAGTAAATAGTTTACCTGTTTTTTCAACAATTCACTCTTACAATATTGTAAAGGGTTATGCTTTTTTTTGTCATTCTAGATGCTCTTAAGATGTATTGGCTTAGACGCTTTTCAAAAGCATCTGTTATATCTCTTCACTGAAACCTCTTGCCAAAATGTGTGCCCATTAATGTAGTAAATAGGCAATGATTAATTTCTGTAACTAATGTGGTTAGGTCCATACCTGTACGAGTGACTTAGTTTCAGCCTGGATCAAGATCATAGAGTCACAAGTACATGAATGAAGAAACAAAAATAGAAGGCACTTCTAATAAAATAATGTAACACCATAATTTACATGCTACATGCATAGAACTCATTCACTCTTCCATTAAATTACTATTTATGAAAGAGCCCTGATTTCTACAGGCAATTGTAAATAGCCTACACTTTGTGTATGACCAAAAGCAGTCTTAATGCTGCTTTAATGGCATGAACAAATGGAATTCAAGTTGTAAATTGTTAATAAGATATTGTGTGTCCACCAAAACAGCCCTATAAAAAAGTGCATGTGGGAATAATGAGCAACAAATAGATTTAAAATTTCAGTATTTTTGGTTTTCAAAGTCCTACTGTACTTTTGAAAGCAGCCAAAAAAAAAAAAAGCACTCCTACACTCATTTTCTTAGGTATTACGGTGGTTTGTGCTATTGTCAACATTGGTCGTACACACAAGAAATGTATCTCCTATCTAGTTAGATAGGAGACTCAGAACTGTCAGTTTTATGTCTCTTTGGCTCTGCTCTCTAACCCTCAGCAATGGATGTTAATTAGGAACAGAAAAACTCATTGGACTGAATTGCCTGTATAGTACCAACTCTTTGCATGACACTGACACCATGATCTAGGCTGAAATTAGGACACATTTAATTAACATTGCCACCCCTCACTCCTAAGATATATTTGCCCTTTAAACCAATCCTTTAAAAAGGTTGAAGGGGAAAGAATTATTTAACCACAAGAAAAGCTGAAAAGATGAGCTTCAGCAAATTTCTCAAAGGTACCAATGCAAATATTTTAGGCATAACATGCAAGTATGTAAATTAACATTTCTATCCTATAAAAATGTACATGGGCACTTTTCTCATTGGCTTCAATAAGGATAAATTCTATTTGGATTACACTGGTAAAGGCTGTAAATGGATTTTTTAAGTGTTCAGGCTGTGAGGATGCTATGTTGTGAATCTGAGTTGGAATCTCTCATTTTTTGTTACTCCTTGTTTCTTCTAATTACACACTCATTTCATTTTCTATTTTATTTTGCAACTTTCCAGTGTTGTAGCAAAACAGGCAGTTCTAGATTTTTTTTTTTAAACTTCTCTGAGTAACACAAGACCCTAGAGTTTGGCAGATACTAGCTCCTCTTCTGGAGTAGAGCGATGATTTTTCCACTGTTTCCTAAGGATTTTAAAGATGATTTTCTCTTTCTTAGAAACATTCACACATGGGATAACAGTAAAAGTACAGCTCTCAAATTCATATATGAAAATGATCTAAGAGATACTTGAGGACACAATATTAATAGTGTAATGGAATTGCATCTGCTGTATGCAATTCCAGCTTTTCCTTTTGTGTAAAAATACTTGGTGTTATTGTGGAGGTGCTTTTGAGACATATGTGGAAATAATTTGCTTTTTTGGCTCATGTTGGTACTTGCACTCACAGATTGGGTTAAATTGAAGTAATGGTAATTGCCAATTTTTGTTTTTTATTTTTATTGCTCTTAAAATAACGGAAAAAGAATAAAGGAACAAAACACAAAGATAATCATGATAGAAATATATACATTGTCAAAGAAAAAAAACAAGTGGTTTTAAAAAAGTGAAAAAAACAAACAGTATATATAACAGTAAACAGTTTCAATTCTATATGTACTTATCTAATGCAAATATTGTGCAAGTATAAATATATTCATTTCTAATGCACTTATATAACTGTCATTATTTTTTTTTATGCTATCGTATTTTGTATAAATGAGTTCCATATTTCATTATACTTGTCCATACAAAGTCTATGTCTGTAGGCAACCCCCTCATAGTTGGCAAGAGTAATCAGGTCTTCAATCTATTGAATAAATGGGGGCCATATATTTATCTTTCTAATGCTGAAATATCAATTTTTTGGCCATAGTAAGGGCATGGAGAATCCATTTACATTGTCCAGTTGTCAAATTCCATGTAATAGGTATGTAATTCCAAAGAATATTATCCTCTAAATTTTTTAGCTTTTGTCGGACAGTCATATTTATATAATCCACTACTTTTTCCCAAAATCTATTAAGTATAGGACACTGTGAAAACCTATGTTTTAAAGAAGCATTATCCTTATTACATCTCCAACAAAATGATACCTTAGACAGTCCTTTTCTATACAAACATAGTGGAGACCAATAAATTCTAAATATTATTTTTTGTTGTATAAATTGTAGTTTAAAGTCCATTGACACTCTTGGTATAGAAGTTAAGACACTCTCCCATTGTCTAGGCAATATAGAAACTTCTAATTCTTTATTCCACTCATCTCTTAGAATCTGCATATCAAATTGATTTATTGATGACAACCATAAAAACTAATTGTAGGTTTTTTAGTTTTAAAGGATTTAACAACTTGTTCTAATGTCTCGGGTGTCTCAGAAGCTGAAAATGCTGCTGGTCCAAACCATATTAAATGATGTAGCTGTAAATATTACCATTGGGTTACGTCTGATAGATTATATTTATCTCTTAAGACAGAGTACGTTAAAAATTCATCTTCATCTATCAGTTAGTCCAAAGTCAATATCGCCACTTCCATCCAATTTTTCCATATCACTATCTTTTTCCCAATTTTTAAAGTTGGGAAATAAAGTCAATTTAGCATGGGAAAAGGTATAAAATCTTTTTTTAGACATTACATTCCATAGCTTTCTGACTGACACAATTGTTTCTAGAGCTACTAGAGTTCTAGTGTATTTATATCCTAATACTGTCCATCCAACCAAAGGTGCTATATATTTATATTCCAAAGTTACCCAAATCAGAAAATTAACACCAACTGTTGACAATAGGTAAGCTTGATGATATAGCTTACCTATTTCCCAGATTTGGGAAACCAAATCTGCCCTCATTAATTGGTAGTTGCATTTTCTGTAAAGATATTCTTGGAACTGAAGAACCCCATAGAAATTTTCTAAACAAAGAATTTACTTTCTGAAAATATTTTCCAGATATATAAACTGGGATTGCTCTCAGAATATAAATTAATCTGGGAATAATATTCATTTTGAGAGCATTTACCTTTCCCAAAGGGTAAGATTTAATGACTCCCAGCTATCAATATCTGATAAATTTTATTTATATTGCATATTACTAACTCAGATATATCTTTCAGTATGCACATACCTAGATATTTAATAGATTCGGTACAAATACGGGATTGATATTCCTTAAATGGATGGGTAACCAAATTTTCGCCTATTGGCATCAATTCCGATTTGGACCAGTTGATAAGAGTATCCTGCTATTTTACTAAAGGCATCTGTTATTTGCATCAACACTGGAATAGTGATGTGAGGTTTAGAAATAAAATGTCATCTGCAAATAAAACCAATTTATATTCAACTGAATTATGTATTACTCCATAGATCTCTCTCTCTCTTGTCTAATAGCACAAGCCAAGAGTTCCATGCAGATATTAAAAAGCAAGGGTGAAAGTGGACTTCCTTGTCTAGTTCCTCTAGTGGGAAAGAAGCAAAGAACATGCCATTAACCTTTACGTTAGATGTGACTCTCATAATATCCTGATCCATTTTATGAATTCTAAAGGAAATCTGAACCTGTTTAGTACGGCAAACATGTACTGTTTATATATTTTGTCAAAGGCTTTTTCAGCATCTAATGATAAAATTACAAATTGATCTTTGTTTTTACTCAAGTCAATTAAATCTACAACTAATCTAATGTTATCTGCTCTTTGCCTAGTTTTTCTAAACCTTGTTTGAGCATTCCTAATAAAGAATGATATCAAAGTGGTTATAAGCAAATCTAAGTATCTTTGTGTACACTGAACTTTTATTACATTTTATCTACAAAATAATCTACAAAATAATATTTAATTATAATTATATACTAGTCAAATGGAGGTTTTTTTTAAAAAAAAGATTATACCAATTATTTTCTTTCAATATACTTAAGGGTAAAACTCTTGCAGCACTCTGCACTGCATTGTTCTAATCTTTATCTAAGATTGCAAGTCACAAAGTGCGGAACAAATATAAAGGGAATAAGTGAACATTTTCTCAACAGTTATTTCAGCATGTGTCATCACAAAACAGGCAGACACAAATTAACACGAAGGCACTTCTTCAAGGAAATCAACAGCAGGACTTTTTTTTTTTTTTTAATCACAGCTTATTCGCCATCTTCCATAACAAAATGAACTGGAAAGGTGCTGGAGTCAGAGGCCGACTCACACTCCAGCACAGCCTTGGTACTTTCATTGCTGATGGGAAAACTGCTGGGAAGTGAAACCAAGCCATAATCTTGAAAATACTACAAAAGCAATGGGATAAAGGGGGAGGGGAAAGAAAAAAGAGAATGCCAAGTTAAATTACCTGGAGTAGTAATATTTTACAGCCAACCTGCCTTACACACACCTATGGACAAATCAATCCAGTGTAGAACCAGAACTTGTACTTGATTAAGCACAGTTCTAGACATGTGCAAGACATTATTCTCAGAGAGAGGAACCACAAAGTTGGACCCAGGTTAAATGTTAGTCACAAAATATTAGTTCAGGACACCAGCCATGCCTTTTTCTACAGATACCCAATACCCAATTTCATTTCTCTCACCCATTCTCCCAGGGATGGGTGGAGATAGAGAAGACTTCTGCCCATGGTGGGTCATAAAACATGAACTTGAATGATGGGCTGCCATTCATGGTAATAGATTGTTTGTACCTCAGATGAACATATAGGCATAGTCACATTGTTTTGTCCTTTTTAAACCCCCTGCAGATCCACACACAAAAACTGAACATCTTTCTCTCTCTCGTAAGATTCTCAGAATTTTAAGAGCTGCATGATAAGAAATTTAGCAGGTGAATAAACTTCTGTCACCAAACCTGCTCCACAATGAGAAAAAACAAACCTACAAACTCTTTGCTTGTCATACAAGCTGACAATCTGTGGGAAATAACCAAACTTTTGTGTATTAACTAACCTCTTCTAACTTCAATAAAACAAGTGAATGATGAGTCAATTGTATTTTATGCAGAATAAAACAAGGTCTCCTCCTTGAAGTTCTGGTTATATCTGAATAACATCTATAAAGGTTGTGTGATTATTTTATTAAGATCAAGAGGATTCTTACCTGCTTAAAGCTTAAAAGAATGTGAGTGGCAATTATTAGTATTTTAAAATAATTTCAACCTTGTCCTTAACATTTTAAAAGGCGGATTACAGAAAAAACATACGATAAAACCAAAAAACAGACGTCAAACGATTGCATTACAAAACAGCAGTAACACCAGTAAATAGTATCTATAAGAAGCCACAATGACCTCAAAATGACACTTGCACCATGTCATGACACAAATGATACAATTGTGTGATGTCGTAATGTATGGCACAGGTACCTAAGTTGCATTATATGTGTGATGATGTCATGACACACATGTCAGCTTGACTTCCTTGCCTCCAGGAAGATGTCACTGACAGTACGACTTTAAGCAATACATTTCAGAAACAACATTAACATCAATGTTGAGACTCATTTAGAAGCTTGGGCAAATTAGATGGCAGGCAAATATTCCAGGATAGGCTACTTTGCATTCAACTTGAGAAAAATCTATGTTATCACCAACTGACTAGTTTTTGATGGTGGAAGCACCCCAGAGAAGGAAATCCTCACCAAATATGTTCATACAAAAGGTACGAAAAGGTATACAATCAAGCTTAATTTTAGATGTTTAGATGACTATATGGACACATCCATATTTTCTTGGCAACAATACAGAAGTTGATTGTGGTTGCTTTTTGGGGAATGCTCTTCAAACTTCCCAACATAGCCTACAGCCCTGGGATTTCCTGATGGTCTTTGACCCAAGGTCAAATCATCCACTTTTAACTTTGCAGGATCAAACTAGTTTAACAAGGGGCTGGCCCCTGGCTGTGCAGAAAAAAATACTAATTTGTTATGGTCTTATTAAAGGCAGTGGAGCTCATTTGGAAACAAAGGTAGCAATGCCTGTTCTTATGTGGCCGAAGTCAACTTGACTTCAACTCCATTAGAACTGGCATTGCTCCTTATTTCTGAAAGGACTCCAATGCTTTTAATAGGCATATAATAAACATTAAGCAATAACTCAGCAGCTGAATTCTTGGTGCTCTTAAAGGCACAGAAAAAAGTGACAACTCAATGGGAATCACAGAACAGTTCCTTTGTACATATGCACTATGCAAATATGGACTCTTTATGAACTGGAAGAAACAACTGCACATATATAAACAATCCATTTTGGACTATACAATTCAGGGAGAAGTCAGTAAGCACAAAGCAGATCTTTTTCCCCATGCTTATTCCATGGACATCTGGACCTCAGTTCTACAAAAATGTAATAGCACTAACAACGATCACAAGATTGAAACGAGGCATATTCTGCACATTGGTGTGGCTGCTGCTATGCAAGTACTCCCAGAAGTTCTAAAATCTAGTTGCCAGGGCAACTGTCCCTCCCCCAACTAAGCAATTGCCCCTTTCTTGGAAGCCTAACAGTAGTGCTGTGCTGAAGTTGCCTTTGAATTTCTCAGGAGTTTTCCTCCCATGCGAGGAACATTTTGTTTTTTCTACTTTATTCTCAAGGTGCTTGGCAAAGGCTGCAACCGCTGGGGTTACTTTCTCTTACTTATCTTCCTACCACACTTCCCTGTCTGAAAAAGCCTGGGAGGAGTTCTCTTGTGGCATCTTCCTTGGAATTTAAGTAAGTGTGCGATGCCAGGGAAGTTACCGATCCCTAGAGAGATGGCTGCACCATGAAAGACAGGAGACACACATGCCATGACCACCTCATATTCCACCCAAGTGAGATTCACTAAAGTGCTTTTCTTTGAAAGGCAATTCAAAATCAAATTCTTTTTCTTAAATGAGAATTGGCAAAAAAGAGCCCTTTTTTCCTACTCAGTAGTTTCTTTTTTGGGGGGGGGGGGTTGAGAATGCCTATGAGTCAGTGTTGATTCCTGGCTCCTGGACAAGTCCCGGCAGTTTTCTTGGCAACATTTTTGGAAGTGGTTTGCCATTTTTACAGAAATCAAAATCACAGAAGATGCCCCCTGAGGCTTAATGTGTTGGAGTCATTCTATTTTGAATGTTTATAATTTAGTGGGGAACAATATCCAGTGAAATTCTTTCAAATAGACTACAGAGCCATTCTCCTCCCCTTGACTTCATTGATTTAAAGTTACTACTTTTATTGCTTTCAAGATAGAGAAAACACAGCAATGCAATCTTTTACAAGCAAGCAACATTATTAAAGAACTGAACTCTGTGGTCATATTTTTATGGTTCTAATTTTTCTGAGAGCCAGTTTGGTGTAGTGGTTAAAGCACCAGGCTAGAGATGTGAGACCATTGAGTCCTAGCCCTGCCTTGGGAAGAAAGCCAGTTTGATCACTTTGAGCCAGTCACGCTTTCTCAGCCCTAGGAAGGAGGCAATGGGAAACCACTTCCAAAAAAATCTTGCCAAGAAAATGGCAGAGATTAGTCCAGGCAGTCACCAGGAGTCAAAAACTGACTTGAAGGCACCAAAACAAACAAACAAACAAACCCCCAGACAACTTTTCTTAATATATGAATGTCACCAATAAATAAAAATTATATCACCACTAACTTTATTATATTTTTAATGAAAGTAATGTGCCCTTGTGTATCTAGGCT